ATCCAGGAATTTGTTTTGTAAGAATAGAATTACTGTTTCAGAAAATAGAATTACTGTTCTAGAAAACAGAATTTCAAAAACAGTTAAAGATTCTAATTTCGAAATTGTTTCAGGTTTTTAGAAATAAACTTATGATACCCGGGAAGTATATACTTCCGAAACCATTCAACAGGAAAAAAAAGATAAGCAGCAAACCTTTAACTATTGTGTCATGTTGCTATATCTTACAAATAAATTATTTCTGATATCAGTAGAACAAAATGATGATTTGGTTTATAGAATGCGATGCTTTGTTGTACAGTGAAATTACCTTGTTACATAGATTTACATTAATAAAATGAAATACCTTGTCATGAGTTCGCGGATAATTCCATAAAACAGGATAGGAACCAGTTTAGTATTTTTTGGTTTCGTTTTCTCTGTGAGTAGGTGCTACTTTCGTGAGTTTCATGAGAGATGCGTCTATATAAGATGTGATCTCGCGTTGATATTAGGGTTGTGGTTTAGAATTAGGTTGTGGTTCATTTAATTTATTTGGTTTGGGTAGACTGGTTTAACAATCAATTTAAATGGTTGTAAATTAAAATAATGTAGACAGTTGTATGGGGAGTAAAAGTCGGATATCTAGGGGGGTTAAATAACTTGTCACGTATATTGTTATAATATATAGGGAAGGACCAAAAAATTAAAAAAAGGAAAGGGTCCAAAACAACTTGTAAAGGTAGATTTTTTTAGACTCCTTCTCTTTTAATAGTATAGATTTTGAATCTACTGCTAGGGATCTTGTGAGGCTTTCTAGCTCTTTCATTGCTCACTCTTTTTGTTTCAGCAGCTACTTACTAGCGTATCTGTGCGCTTAATATTATTGCTCTCAATTAACGGTGTTGCCTCAAAACCATATCTTATATAATTTTCATCATGCATTTCGATAGAATACCTTTATAGAAAATTATGAATCCAGTGGTGTTATATGAAAAAATATTGTAAGCAATTATATATAATATAATATAATGTAGATTTGTTGTCTATTAAAATAAAAGATATTTGGTATATAATTTGCTCATTACAATAAAACTGTCTAAAAATGTTTCATGAAAGACAGAATGTTAATCACTCATCTAAGGAATATAATATTACGTGGGACGACAATATTTGGAAAAAAAATTAAGTAAATAACAACAATAACATGTATAATTTTACTCATACAATTGTTACTAGCCTAATTCATAAAATAAGTTAAGAGTTTAGGGCTTAAAACTATATTTCTGTTATAACATAAACCACTACGTAAAACACACACATACTTCAGCAAAAAACACACACACACACATATATTTCAGAAAAGTTAAACCATTGACCTTTTAGTTTTATTTCCAAATATTTCCAACCTGGTTTACTCAAAAGAAAAACAACCGTTTAAGTAATGGGTTACTAGAACTTGATTCGTGCACCGCACAAATGTTTATTTTAATAAAATAAATAAATATATGAAATTCTCAACAACAAGAAAATGTAATGGCTGTCCAAAGATTCATCCATATAATTATTTGTTTTCGATTTGTAGTATATAACATTTATGATATATATATCAACATTTTTTAGTTTTATGTAGTTTGTTGGTTGTTTATATTGTGATTGGATACTAAACCAATCAAAATGATATGTTATATAACACAATCTTCAATTAGAAAATTTTAATTGCATTAACCATTTTGGCGTGTTCATTTATATATTAATTAGTATATATGTTTATGTATATTAGTAAATCTATTTTCAAAACAAAATATTTTATGTCAAACAAAATTCACTTGTGTTTCAATAAAATAGATAGATATGTATTTAATTTTTTTATACGCCAAATAAATTTCTTTCAATGTTTATTTTTGAGGAAAATATTAAATTAAAATTTAGTTACTGTATTCTTATAACTAAAACATATACGTGTGAAAAATATTAATCATAAAATTATGTAACATATACCAGACAATAAATTTATGAGTTTTAATAACACATTTATAGTTTATATTATGTATGTGAAATAAAAGAATAATATACATAAATATATAATATTTAAAGTTTGCATGTCAGATTTTGAGTAATTTTTTTTATTTTCTTGTAAAAATTGATTAGAGACAATTCCGGTTAGAGAATAATGGTAAATTTGATTAGAGAATAAAGGTAAGTTTGATTAGAGAATATTTAACAAAATAAATTATTTATACTTAATTAATAATTACTAAATGCAGTAGCATAAGTTGTAACAATTAAAGTGAAAGAAAGGTTATTAAAAGGTATTTCAGTTTCAAAAATATAGATATTTTGTAATTTTTACCGTCTATTATATCAAAGTGTATCATATAAACAAATTTAATATTTATAAATAACTGGACTTATATATATGAAAACATTACACCAATTTATGAAAATATTATTTTAATTTTTATTTATATATTATATAAATTGAATATGATGTGTGATTTTTGAATCTATTATTTATTTTATTATTTAAAATTCGATTAAGGAAATCTATTATTTAAATTAGGAAAAGATAAACATACTTAGATATATGTTCAATTAATATCTCAATGGCATTATAGTGTAAATAAATGGTAAAACTAAGGGATATTTTTATTTTGTATTTCTCTTTTATTAATATAGATTATAAATAAGGAAGTTCAATTAAAATATGTCTAGTTTTTAATATAAATAAAGAATCTCGACAGATTTGTTTTTATGAATAAGGTTTATATACTCTTATTAGTTTATGCAGTTTTACTAGGTTATACCGTTTTATATTGACGTAATTAAGTATTCTGACTCTCGCAACTTGTGTTTTACTTATGGTTAGTTTGATAACTTTTCAGAAAATTAGGGTTCATAAACGATTGGGTTAACGTTACATTTTGGAGTTCGATCAAGAATTTTAAGAATTATAGATCAGTCGTAAAATCAAGAACTCTAGCAGACACTGGCTGGCTTTCATTGATAATCTGATTTTTGTTTACACTGCTAAAGCCCATATCGGCCATTGACGGCGAGGGTCATCCTTTGTTTAAGTTGAAACTTCCGATTACAGAAAAAGAGTATATGTAATTTACATGAATGGTGCATGGTGTTCTTGGATAATTCACCAATACAAAATTAATTTGAATAACTTTATAATATAAATAATCGTCTTGTATTGATATAGGATATTTTGCATGTTTGATATAAACCCCAATGGTAAAAAATTAATTTTAAATTATTTTCTTATTAATTTTGTCAATTTAGATATATATTAATCTAATATTAATAATTTAACTATAAGTTTTGATTTTATAAAATAATATTTATTAATGCTGATTTATTGAAATATAAGGATTCAGCATTGCTAGACCAATTTTTTTAAAGATATATCCTATAATAGATTCGATCATCTATCTTATTAAAACATAAATATTAGGTTAGACCTAATATTTATTATGTAAATTTTTAAATTAAATATATCTTTTTACTTTATAGTTAAACATACATTAAATTACTAATATTTCTTTCTTTGTACTACTATCCATGTATTCAAACAATATATTTATTTATTTATATTATTATCTATGTTTCCAAACAATATATTCATTTCTGTATACTATTATTCATGTTTCCAAACAACAATATCATTAATCTTATGTCCAAACATACAAAATATTAGATCTCACCTTTTAATATTTTTCACAATTTTCTTTCAAATTATTTAGACAAAATTTAAAAATATTCAAATAATATATAAAACAATAAAAATAAACTTATTTTTACAGATTTAAATATTACATATCAGTTATTCAACGGTTTAATCGGTCAGTCTCGGGTTTTAGTGATTATTTAAATATGAATATTTTTTAAAAGTAAAATTGAATTACCGGATCACCGGTTTAACCACGGTCCGAGTTGAATTTAAAAATACTGATGTAAATGAACAAATATTTTAAACACATAAATTCTTTCAAATTACCAAAAGATTTGTTAAGTTATTTATGAATTTTTTCATCAATGAATTTTTTCATCATAAAATATACTTGCTTGCAAAGTTAAGACCAAAGTTAAGTTTGAATTTGACTTAACCTACAAAATAAAGGTTAAGGCAAAAATTCTAGAAATTTGCATATTATTTTTAAAAAATTGGATAATTACTAACACCAGAAGTAATTAAACTCTCAACTTATTTTTTTACTGCAAACAATTAACTTTGAATTTGGTTTTGGACTTCGAACAAACGTACTGAATTAGTGTTTGCACTGCACGATTACATCTACATAATACATTGCTTGATGCTATTGTTCTTTAAACATAAAATTGAATTGGACAAACTCAAAACTATATAAAACTAAATTATATAGAATACATCCAAAAAAATAAAACCGGGCATCCGCGCGGATCATGATCTAGTTTCAAATTTAAATGATAACCTTTTATCAGTACATAAAATTAGGATTCTAAATTAATAAGATATATTTTAAATATGTATCTTCTTATCCGTCCATATATACTTTAGACTAAATGTTCAAAAGATCCAATGGATTCAAAGCATTTGTTAGTAGAACTGTGATGTTGATAATCACAAGTTCTATAATGAATTACAACCGGCCAAACTCCGTACAATTAAAACCATCTATTTTTGTCTATTTGTTACTTTATTAACTTATATTGGAATGATAATAATTGAAGACTATTTTGGTCACATTGACATAAATACTAGTTTTCTTCTTTCACTTCCTTAATCGTATCATTCCATACTCTCCTTTTCCTCCATAAGCCATCTTGTGTCTAACATATTTATATAAACCAAGTCCACACAAATAGAAACTTACATAAAATATTTGGGTAGTTTTTCAACTTACTCTACTTTTTTTTTCATTTTAAGAGAGAGAATCTAGGGTTCTTCTTCTTCTTGTTTTTTTTTCTGGTGAAGGTTCTAATTAAGGTCGTCTTGTAGCTTCTTTTTGGTTGCTTGAGGAAATTTTTAAGAAATGGGTAGGGGAAGGGTTCAGCTACGGCGGATCGAGAACAAGATAAGGAGACAAGTGACGTTTTCAAAACGAAGAACGGGTTTGGTGAAGAAAGCTCAAGAGATCTCAGTGTTATGTGATGCTGATGTTGCTTTGATTGTGTTTTCTCCTAAAGGCAAGCTCTTTGAGTTCTCGGCTGGCTCCAGGTTTGAATTTCTTCCTAACCAAATTAATTTACTTGGAATCTTATTTTACGCCCTGGTTACTTCCTTTTTTAAAAATATCATATCTATTCTTGTCTACCTACATATATCTGAGCTTAATTATATTTCATATTTGACCGATTGGGGAAACTGGTAGGTTTTAGCCAGCGGAGATTGATGTGGAATTGGCTGAGATATTTTGATCAAATTAAATAGATGATTTTACAGCCATGTATGAGTGTGAGATCGATTGATACACATGCTTATAGTTCCCACATCTCTGCTTAGTTAGTTCTTGCATCTCTAAGGTAGAGAAGAATATAAAAATAAAATATTATATGTCCTACATAAATCAAATTATCAGAAGTGCGTAGAGATAATTATGAGATCAAACGATAACTGTGAGAAAGAAGAGTGATGGTGTAGAATGTGGTAACTGTTAACCAAAATAAGTTGAATATACCATGAACTAGTTGGTTATCTTTCGTTTAATCTAGGTGTGTATTTCTTCTCCAACCTTACAGAAATGATGATTTTATAGGAAAATGGTTGAAGAGAAAATTTGATATAAAGTCTACAAATATTTTTTTGATTCACATGACATGTAGGGTTTTCCCCAATGAATAGATCTAATGTTCTTTTTTTTTTTGGACAACATAGATCTAATGTTCAAAGGTAAATTAATTTGGCTATTTATTCATGTTAGATTCGACTTTTTGGTAACCAGTGTAAAACTAATTAAAGATTGTTTTCTATTTTAGTATGTCGAAATCAAAAGATCTCTAATACAAAATAAGTCTGATGGGATTTTAACTAAACACATTTAGTACAAACAACTTAACAGAATATAAATTTGCAGTTTATCTGAAAATTCATCTAAACTTTAATTAAAGGGCAATTGCTTTCAGTGAATCATTATGGAGGTCTTACATAATCTGTATAAGAAATTTCAAATTAGAAAGATAATTTTTTTAACTTTTATTATTTATAATATTTACTGTAATAGGATGGATAATTCATTATTTTCTTGTAATTTCGAATATGAGAATTTTTTTTAGAAAATAAAATAAAAATTTCGAGTATGAGATAAATATTTTCTGAAACAGTAAAAATTAGGGAAAATTCCATATAAATACCCCAACTAAATTTTATTAAGTTTTTTAATACCCAAACTTTTTCGCTACCCATTTTAATACCCTAACTAATTATTTTACCCATTTTAATGCACAAACTTTTATAAATGTGCCCATTTTAATACCCAAATTTTGTTTATTTTAATTAACAATACGAATAAATTTCCAATAAATTTCCAATAAATTTTTCAAAATTTCTAAACTTTACAAAAAATTGATTTTATTATATGTTATGGAAATGAAATTAAATAAAATTTTTATAATCTTAAGTTTTGTAAAAAGTTTTTTAAGTTTTATATATTGAATTTAGTTTGTTTTCTGAAATAAAAAAGTAAATTATTTTTTTTCCTTCAAAATTTTTTTTTTTTAAACATTTAAATTTTCTCCAGAGTTTATTTACCTTATTTCTTAAATCTTAGAGTAAACTTAGAAATTTTAAATATCTTTTCTTAGATTTTGGAGATTTTTAAAAAAAATTTTTGAAACTTATTAGTATTGTTAATTAAAATAAACAAAGTTTGGGTATTAAAATGGGAACAATTATAAAGGTTTGTATATTAAAGTGGGAAAAATTATTAGTTGAGGTATTAAATTGGGTAGTGAAAAAGTTTGGGTATTAAAAAGCTTAATAAAATTTAGTTGGGGTATTTATATGGAATTTTCCCTAAAAATTAATACTAGGAGACATATATGATGACACCGTTCAAATTATCCCAATGTCCTAGGTTCACATAAATAATATTAGTTCTCATCTTTTCATAAACACTATCATTAGTTAGTGCTATAATTGTAACGGAAAAAGAAGTAACCCTACTATATATAGGAAGAACATATCATAAAAAGTTATAGTGCAGTTATCATCTTTTTAGGGATGGATTTCGTACTGAAAATAACTAAATGTACACAAAATTACTATAGAGAGAAACAAATCTACTATAAATAGGAGTGAGCTTTCAGTCATGACTGTAGTAACAGCAAACAGGAAGTATATATACGGTAATATGTTGTTGGAAGCATGGCAAGCCGTTTTCATGGAGCTTTGTGCCTTGCTTTGTTCTTTTCTTGGTAGAACCTAGGACTAACCTCGATCTTCACATGAAAATATACACATTTCCATAATGATATTTCTAGCTTCTGAGCTTTAAGTAGTATAATATATGTCAAAATTGAAATTCCTTGCAAACATGTTGTAAGAAATGTTGTATATTTGATCTAATAATTATTTTAGTCTAAGGAATACTGTGAACTCGTTAAAAAAATTGTTTTCACTGTGTAAACTCTGCGTGTGAGCTACTTGGTAACGTATGCCTCCGCTCAAGTGGTTTACCCACAGACCACAGTAGGTTTGTGAGAATCCGTTTACTCAAGGGCATTTCTCTATAAATCGAAATCCAAATATCATGTGCTTAATCCATAATATAGTGTTTAAAATGGATGGAAATATAGATCAATGTTCTCAATTGTAAAAAAAAACGTTACTACATGCATATAAATCTAGAGATTTTTTTGTTTACCTTCCCAAAATAGAATAGACTAAGAAAAAGAAAAAGAAAAAATGTATACTAACTTTTAAAGATAAATTATTCCTGATTTTCATTATGCTATGATGATAGTTTTACATTGAGTGTTCATTCAAGTTTTATTAAATGATATTTAGCATGGAGAGAATTCTTGATCGATACGAGAGATGTTCATACGCCGGTCAAGATATTCCTACACCAAGTTTGGATTCACAGGTCCTTAAGCACATCAATAAACATCTATAACATATGAATCATTGTCTATCCTAAATGTGGCTAACTATATTTTTCTACTTCTTCTTGTTCTTTGTAGGGTGAGTGTTCAACAGAATGTTCCAAGCTCTTGAGGATGATTGATGGTATGCAAAGAAGCTTAAGGTTAGAAACTAGTAACCAAAATTAGATCATCCAGACATAAATACACACTTTTCTTTCAAACAATGTAATAAATTGCATCTTCACTTTTTAACTTGTTTAATTACTTCATATAACTAGGCACTTAAAAGGAGAAGAGGTGGATACTCTAAGTATCAGAGAGCTTCAGGGTCTGGAGATGCAACTTGATACTTCCTTAAGGAGAACTCGCTCTAGAAAGGTTCTTTATCTTTATCAAAAGAACAGTATCTTACATTACGTATATTACATGTATGCATAGATCATTTGTACAAAAGTATTTGTGTCTAAACATGTTCAGTGTGTGTATGCATATATATTTACACAGATATATAGATATACTACATCTAATCATGTAGCTATTGTTTTGGTTTGGGAACACAGAACCAGCTCATGGTAGAGTCCTTAGCACAGCTTCAGAAAAAGGTAATATACTGGTTTAGAATTACTCACACTTTGTTATGATCATAATGGTTTTGTACCTTGCAAACGTCTTTGAGGTACCTGCAGGTCTATTTTCGTTATTGGGATTGTACAAATCAAAATACTTATGTCTATATATGTGATCTTCAAGCTTGATATTCTACGTTGTTTTTCTACCAAGAAACAATAATTAGATGTTCGATCTGTAGAATACTTGAGTTTCTGATAGAATTGATAAATATGGGATCCTTTGTTAATTGGCATAGGAGAAGGAACTCAAAGAACTGAAGAAACGGCTTACAAAAAAGGTGAAAGGATGTCATAATCTTTGACTATAGATGCATACTAGATTGTGTTCCTATTTAACGTCGATTTTAAGTTTTCAGAGATTATTCTAGGTTTTAGTCTAAAATTTCCGATTACATATATTTAAGTTATGTTTGAATATTATAAAACAATTACAAAAGAAAAACTATTAACTAGCTATACGAGTATTGAATTTGGAAGGTTGGTCAAAATGAAGACATTGAGCGTCAAAACCTCAGCCAAGGGTTAGCCTCATTGGCAACGCCACCATGTGAGCCACCGCACCTGTTGCCTGCAGGACTCATATCTCCTCATCCTCCTTTATCTATTGGGTATAATTCTTGATTCTCTATATATATCGATTTCACTTGGCTATGCATATACGAAATTACCAGTTATATTGTTTTTTTTTTTAACTGAAACTGATATATTAATATTATATAAATTGTTAATATATATTGATTAATAATAATAGTTAGCTAATTTAGATCAACATCACAAAATTTATAATTTGAAACCTTGATATTTACGTAGCCACGGGCATAATGTGTATCATTTATGGACTACTTATAGGGATACATCGCAAAGAAATGAACTTGGAGAAGAAGATGCCGGAACCCTAACTCGACCTACGAGTACAACATTGCCGCATTGGATGCCTCGGCTCACTGGAGAATAGAGATCCGAAGGCCATCTTGGTTTGTTATCTTCAAGTACTTAAATATATATAAACGAAATAACTTATCGGTTTAAGTAAAACCAAACAGAATATCACGAAATATATTCTGTTTTGGCATTCTTATAACCCCGGTGTAAGATGTCCTCATGTTTCAAACTTTGAACGAATTTTAGAAAATCCTGAATGTGATTTTGTATATTAAATTAATGAGTGTACCTTGCATTTGTAAATTTTTGAAGACGATTTTGATAAATCTAAAAATTCAAACAGGAAATAAGACTAAAGAAAAATACAGAAAATTTAGAATAAGCTTGTCCCACATTGGTAAGAAAAGCAAAAGTGGACAGGTATGATTATTTATATATACAGCTATGAGCTATCACTTTTAAACTTCAAATTGCATTGTGGGCTTTGCTTTAACGAAGCCAAAAACATGTCAAAAGTTCAAAATTAATCGCCCAAAATCGGTTTAAAATTGGAAATGATCCGATTAATTAATTTAGACGGCTAATTATACACTGATCGATTAATTGATTTAGATGGTTAATTATACTATTTATAAACTATGTTAAGGTTTAATCAAATTTTTAGAATAATATCAAGTTTTTTCGGGGTTTTACAGGTCAACCTGCACTGGTTACTAGCAGATTTTTAAGTTTTATCAGATTTTTAATTAATGGGGTTTTCATCAAATCGAAACCGGATTATAAACAGTCACCAGATTTACTGGTTCAGCTATGAGTTCAGATTTAGTATGGAAATACTGTTTATATTTTAATTCGTCCATAAACCTCATATATACCACACTAAAAAAATTAAATAATTTATGACATAGAAAGTTTTCTTGGCACTATTTATATGTATTAGTCGTCAACAATCAGTTTTAGTTCGAGTATTTCAGTTTTTGGTGTTTTGGCTCTATAAATTTAGGAACTATTCAAGAATTTACAAAGTTTGGTTCGATTTCAGTTGGGTTATGTTGGTTTTTAGTTTGGTTCAGGTAGCGAAGTTGGGAACTGGATAATATCCAAATATTTTGGGTCCAATGTGGTTTTAGTTCAATTATGGTTTTTAGAATAATTTCAGATTTATGAGAAAATATCAGATAATTATAGTTTTTAGTTAAAAATCAGGTAATCTGATTTTTTGGATAAAATTCAAATAGTTTCTAATATTTGGAATAAAAAATATTCTGACCACTTCTGTTTTAGATAATTTTGTTTATAAATAGTATGTTAAGGATATTTGTTATTAGAAATTAAATATAAAATATTTGTATGTATATAATTGATATTTTTTAAAACTCGGGTACCCATTTAGTTCTCGGTTCAATTTCAGTTTTTTAGTTCTAAAAATATAAGATCCACTCAAATTATTTATGAAATTTAGTTTAATTATGGTTTCATTTTTCAGTTTGATTCATCGGTTCTGGATATATGTGCACAAGCCTATACACTTTTTTTCTTTTTCTTTTTTCTGTCACAAGACCTGTCCATGTTACTAGTCAATTTTAAAATCCTTAATAATTAAATTGCCAATATCAAGTAACTCATACTCCATCCGTTTCATTTTAATTGTCATTCTAAGTTTATACATACAAATTAAAGAAATATTTAATTTTACATATTTTCAAGACAAAATCACAATTATCTATGTATTTAACCACTTTTCAACCAATAAAAAAAAGAATATTATAAAAAAACTAATAAATTTTGCCTCGAAACTCTAAAACGACACTTAACAAAAGAAAAGTTTAAAATGACAAATATTCTGAACGGAGAGAGTATGTTTTATGTAACCATTACTAATTTGATTTGACAGAACTAAGACATCAACCGAACTAAACCAAACCGATATAACAACAAAGTCTCAATGATATTATCTTGAAGAGAAAACAAGGAATAAATTAATTACTGCGCGAAAACACAGACCTATCCATTTCATGCGTGACTTCATGAACACTTTACCTTCTCCCTTCATCTCTTGATCGAGAAGTGAAGCTTACACTCAACTACTAGAGTTAATCTAGTTACAGTGATGGAGAAGAGCGTAAAGAGGGCCGATCCGGAGCATAACCAAACTAACCGATCGATTAGGATATCATGATTTTAAGCGGTAATTTTAGCTATATATAGGGCACTATATGAATAACAAGGGTAAAATCCTTTAGGCTAGCGTAGAGCATCAAGAAAAAATTGAAATGTTAGACCGACATTGACAGAGATACGTGTGAGTTTGCACATGTCTGGAGATAAAATGTAGAGTGGTGTTGATCCAATAATATTCAGTGAGGTGTTTGGTCTCTCTCAAAATATGTTCTGCTTTCATTAAATTTTAACTTTTTATTTCTCTTTTTTGGCTTCTTACATTTACCCAAAGATATTTTAATTTTTTACTTTTTACTTAACCAGAAATGTTTATCCGGTTTTGCATTCCTCTCACTTCTAATTTCCTGGTTTTGTATATTTTGTTCTGGTTGATTTTCTTTTATTTTGATAAAGACAAATTGAGGGTTAAAGCCATAATATATTATTATTTTATAAAATTAAGAGATTTTAAACACTAATTTAATTCATGTGCAATATTAATTTTATTATAGAACTACATTATTGAAATTTATTGGAAAATATTACAAAACCGGTGGATCATTCAATTGATTGTCTGAAACATGTTGTTTCCAACTAGTACAGTCCCTACCACGGAGTTGTCTTATTAATTTTCCATATTCAGGTGCTTTATTTATAATTTGAAAATGGATGAAATTAGTGACTTTAGTTTCATTTTCTATTTACAAATATAAAAATCACTAATAGTTTTTAATGTCAAAAGAAAAAAAAAGGGATTAGAAGTCTTATTTTCTAAAGCGAAAAATTATTACTGTAGAATTATTGTAAAAATATTTTTCCTATTTTATTTTTTTCATTTAATTTCTGTAATATTACATCAAAAAATTCTACAATAAAATTTATACCGTTATAATTCAACTAATCACCCCCACTATAGCAATAGTTCACTTTAGTCAGGATAGCGGATAGCATATATCCCTTAGCTCTCAAAATTAAATTTCAAGTTATATTTATCCATGCATGCGATTTTCTAGTTCATCTTTTCAACTTCTTGTACTGTTTTTATTATATTAAAAAAATTTGGAGACAGAAATCACCCGTGTGAAAGCTCTTTTTAAATTAAAATGGCCCATTTGGTAAAGGGTAAGTCGGCAAAGAATGGAAAGTTAAGAAGGAAAAAGAAACCAGCGTAGAAAAGAAAATCGGTGACAAGAAGCAAATTACATTTTGAACAAAAAAATAAGTTTTGAAAAAAGGAAAATACACCACGTTTACTTTGTATAAATAAGGAGACTCCTCAAGTCTAAATGGACATTCAAAATCATCTACAAACATCTAAAGAGAAAGCATTTCGGCACTTTCTATGAAAAACCAAAAAGGCAAAAACAAGCACCTCGACACTTTTCGCATAGAAAGCCTAAGGTCAACTTCAATGGATACCAAAACACCAAATTTAATGTAATTGTATTTCCAATGGGACACCAAAAATTACACCATCCTTTCAAATTTGGTATAAAGTGAATAGTGTTATACCAAATTTGGTGTAACATTATTCATCACACCAAATATTTAATATGTATATTTTATTATGTTTCATTTAATAATATAGTTTATTTAGTATTTTTAATAGTTCATATTTGTAACTATATATAAATATACTGTATTATTTATATTTTAAAATATTTTTACATAATTAACAATATTTTTAAAAAAATCAATAATTGATTATTATCATTTTATTATATATATATATATATTTGAAAAATATATTAAAGAACTTTTATATTGTATTTTATATTGTAACATATTTTTATTTTAAAATAACAATTATAATCTCTATTTAAGTTTAATGTAACGAACAACTCATAATATTAAATTATTTTTAAGTTAGATTTAATAACAAATAATTAAATTTTATGTAATATTATTAAATGTACCAAACATTAAAATAAACTTTTTAGTTTTTTTTCAATTTATAATATAGTTAAACTTGTATTACTATCTAATAAACAATTATTAAAATGATTATATTATTTTGTTATGTGCTTTTTATAGATAATAGTTTGTAAAATTTAATATATTATAGTATTATATAGAATATAAATACAAAATATAATACTCCCTCCGTTTCTTAAAGATACATATTCTAGAAAAAAAAAATTGTTTCTAAAAGATCCATTTTTATATTTTCAATGTAAGTTTTATTAAATAATTGTAAACTTCAAAAAACTTAATTCCACTAATTGATTTTTGATTGGTATAAAATTATGGAAAGAAGATAAATACAAAAAAATTATGCAAATTTATTGTGTTTTATTAAAAAGTGTGAAAAAACTAGAATATGGATCTTTTAGGAACAGAGAGAGTATTGTTAAACTAAAAAATGTATCAATTTCTTTAACATAAAATTACAAAAATTTAATAATTATAATATGTAAGTGTGATAAAACAATTATTAGCAATTACAAATAATAAAAATATATAAAAAATTATAAATGTTAAAAGTTTTAAATAATATATAATACTCCCTCTGTTTCATTATAAGTGTCACTCTACAGCTGTGCACACGGATTAAGAAAACAATTAATTTTACATATTTCCTATATAAAAACACAGTTACCCATACACCTAACCATATTTTAACCAATAGAAAAACAAATTACATAATAAAATTAATAAATTTTGCACTGAAAAACCGAAAACGACACTTATTTTGTAACGCAAAAATTCTCTACAACGACACTTAATATGAAACGGAGGGAGTATTACTTTTGGTGTAATGTTTGGTGTCATGCATGGTTAGAGATGACTAAAAACATTTTACACTAAAACACCAAATTTGATGTAATTTCAACACTAAATTTGGTGTCATGATTGAAGATGCCCTAATACTAGTATAAACATCATTTTAAGGACTTGTAACCGCTTGTAATAAACTAGGATTGATTTGATCCTATGCAAAAAGTATGAATATATGTATGCATCATTTAACGGGGTCTCTAGCTATAGATACTAAATCATATTTTATGTTCATTTGCCGAGTTCCGAATTCAATATGAGGATTTCTCGTAAGTTCACTATCGAAATCATACATTTCCAGTACCTAGCAATGTCAGATCCAACAAATAATATTTGAAGTTGAACTTAAAAAGATCCTCGTTAGTTTTGGGTTTTTTCTTCATTTTATTTTGTAAATAAATCTCATGT